AAAATGAAATATTTGTGAAGAAATTAAACTCCTCAAAATTCATAATTGAAATACATAAGAAATTTCGATTTCCTACACATCCTTGAATTATTTCTCATTTGCATTTATTTATTTGATTAATTATAATGATACAGTGAGGGGGTCATAGACATAGTGGTTTTATTATCAGTCAAATGTCTAACGTTAATTTAGACAGATAATCTAACCCTAAAAAATAGTTGCCACTCACTCATTTCTACTATAGCATACAATAGTGTTTTGTAATTTATATTACCAATAGTCTAGTTTTTTTCTTCTTTCTTTTTCATTATTTGTAAAATAAATTCTTTGACATTCCCCGTTATAATCTATATAGCACGGACACGGAAATGACGATATGGAAAAATGGGAAAACGCACACGGCATGTTATAAAAATGGGATACGGAAACTTTGAGCAAACATATGAATATTAAAAGTATAGTGGATGTTTATAAATATATGCTATAGGCTATAGCCTATATGAACATATATATAAGTTTTTATCTGGATGTAATTTTTTTCATATATTTCTATAAAATGTATTCAAAATAAAAATTACTTTTAAATTAAAATTGGTCATTAAATTGTGCAATTAATTAGGAAAACAATAAAAATATTTGAAAATCTGCTATTCAAACATATTTGAAATTTTTTAAAAATTACAAAATGACTCATAAGGTGTCTGGCAGGTGTCCGTAAGTGTCGGACGACAACGTGTCCGATTTATATCCGGTGATGTATTTAAAAGTTGAAATTTTCGTGCTACATAAGTTATAATACAAATATTGTATAATTTTCTATGATAATTGTAAAAAAAAAAAAATATTGGAAGTGTTCGAGTGTAACAAGGAAAAAAGAAAGCAGTGTCATTTAATAATGGAAAAACCAATTGCAGTCGAATAATAGGACCACCACCACTATGGAATAGTAAATAGTCCCCATTAGTATGCATCCGTCCACAGAATCACAGCCGATTACAGACTACACTAGACTGAATCCCACCAAATTTAACACTCGCTCCCTCCAAATATATATATATATATATATATATATATATATATATATATATATATATATATATATATATATATATAAAACAACTATATACGAGGTAAAGTTAAATTACGAAAAAAAATCATGTGTTTGGATAATCACAACACCCATCAACTATATATGAATCTTCTTACACGTCAATTATTATGGTGTCAAATTCAACATAATCTTCTACATTCTGTATAATGTTCGCTAGTTTGTACTCGTTTTGAACAAAAATGCAGTTTCTGATGCACCACAATCTGATATTTACAAGCGTAAAGGACATATCTTGTGATTATTTTGTTTTAAAATGTGTAATTCGAATGGGTAAAACGGGTACAAACTGAAAATACTTCACATAATCAATATGATTCCACTAAATTTGACACTGCAATGATGGACGTGTAAGAAGATTCACAGTTGAGATGGGTGGTTGTAATTAGCTAAAAGCGAGGAAATTTTCGTAATTTGACCCCACCCCAATAAGTGTCCGCATTATACCCTCTATGTATATAAGATTTTTTATTACCCTCTGGTTTAATTTGTATATTTTCCTTAGAGCAACCCCAACAAGCAATCATGCAAAACGAGTCATCAAATATCTATATTAATATTTGCTTTGATAAAGGGTTCCTAATTGCATCACTCTGTAAAAAAATATGTGCAACACAGTACAACATTTACAGAGCACACAAATCAATCTTGCACACTGTTTTACTCAAAGAGGGGTACAGTTTTCTTGCTACCTTCAAGAACCCAAAATCAGAAATCAGAAAGGGACAATAGTAAATGCAATTAATTATCAAGTACACTATAGTATTTTTTTTTTAATTTTTTTACCAGTAAGCTATATAGCCCAGCACTATTTCATAGGCAATGGCAAAATCAAGAAACAAGGCAACCACCATTCTTGAAATAAAGTTTTCACACACAGCCAAACAAGTCCTTATCCCTTAACTGCTCTCTCTCTCTCTCTCTCTCTCTCTCTCTCTCTCATGCAGAAACCCTGAAAGAAAATGACATTCTTCTTCTACTAGTGCTGCTGCACATGGAGGGAAACCTGCTCTGTTTTCACTAATATTGCATGTATAATAGGACTCACCAACAAATGACAGGTGTATATATATATATATATATATATACACACACACATATATATACATTATAATAGACACATCAAGAAAATAGACCACACACCAACAGCAAAAACCCACCATTTATTTCTATTGCTAATTACTTTAATCCATACTTTATTGGGAAAATTATAGTTTTCATCCCTCAAATTTGCACCAATTTCATATTTGGTCACCACCCGTGTTCACAAAAAACACATTTGATCCTTCATGTTTCAATAATTTAACACTTTAGGTCCTTCTCCGTCAATTTACCATTCATCCGTCAGTTAAGGCAGTGATGGGCGCGAGCGCTCGCTTGATTCCGTTAGTTTTAACGGCAAATTGACAAAAAAGACTAAAAACATTGCATTTGTGAAACATGAGGGACTGAATGTGTTTTTTATGAACATGAGAGACTAAATGCGGAATCGATGCAAACTTGAGGGATGAAAACTGGATTGTTCCCCGTACTTCATTATTCACTAACTTCTTAAAAGGATTGAAAAGGAAACGAAACAAAAAAAGAAAGATTCAATTGCTAAACACTGATAATATTAATAAGAATAAGAATAAGAATAATAATAATAATAATTCATACCCATATCCACAATTACAGTCTGTCTTAATCTTGATCATCATATCAACAAAAAACCAGAAATTTAAGCTGCAAAGAAGCTAAGCAAAATGGGAAAAATGGGTTGCCCCAAAAGCTTCAAAAAAAAAAAAAAAAAAAAAACTATCAATCTGTAATAAAAATACTGTCTTCAATCTACTCCTAACACTAAAAACTGGACTAAAATTAAGCTTTTTCATAACTTGGATCAAGATAAAGAGTATATAATTCAATATCCCTTCATCATCATCAATCATCATA